GCTTCGACCTGCCTGTTTCTCACAAGTTTGGCCATCTCGTTTCCGGTCTTTTATCAGCTGTTGCGGGTAAAGCTAGGTATGAGATCCCACGCGTCTGAAGCCGAGGAATGGGCGATGGGCATCTAGAACAGACTTTGCTTGAAGAGTAAGGGATGGGATGGACGGGACAAGAGATGTGGAATTGGGCAGTCGACGGAGATGGGAAAGCTGATGGTGTTCACCGGATGCAGACTGTATTCGAGGCGTTTCCATGCCGGCATGTCTCCAATAGCGCTACCAAAGTCTAGGAGCAACACTCGTCGTCGGGTACCCCGCGAGCCAAATTAGTCGCGTATCAGTGTTTTGATCCAAGGCCCTTGAGTTCGTTGAAGTCTCTGATCGGCTGCAACGTTGGGCTCAGGTCATCTGGGAGTGGAGCGTTGCCGGGGCGGACGACGGGAATGCTCTGCATTCCGGCCATGATTGCGGCTGTGACTTCGCTGGGGTTGTCACTGAGGAAGAGCCATTCCTCAGGCTTTGTGCCGGCGAAGTTTGACAGGATTGAAGCATAACTGCCGGGCTCAGTCTTGAGGCCGGCGTTGACCGTGTCGAACCAGCCCGAGATGAGGGGCGTCAAGTCCGCCGGCTGAGCATCTGTGTAGCCAAAGAAGAGCTTTTGGGCGGGAACAGAGCCTGAGGAGTAGATGACGAGGCGTAGACCGGCGTCCTTCCAGGACAAAAGACGTTCAGCGACATCCGGAAAGAGAGGCGCCTTGATTTCACCCGACTTGTAGCCCTCTTTCCAGAGGTAACCCTGGAGGGCCTTGAGGTACGATGCCTTGACATCGCGTTTGACAAGGTCGCGGAAGTGCGCCTCGAAGACTGGTCGATCAGACACACAGTCCTCAGGGAACGCATTCCGGTATACTGCGAACTCGGGATTGTCCCATTGCTTGTTTAGGGTAGCCGGAAGGGCATCGACGGCATACGGGTACTGGAAACCGAGACATCAGCACGGCAATGATATCGGCGGGATTGTGCCGCCGTGGGAGTAAGCGCACGGTTGCCCGGCTCGGAATGAAGAATACCACCTCCGTGCCATCGGAGGAGAATTCAAGGAAGTCACCCGGAGGGGGCTGCAAATTACCCGATGGACCAGGGGGTGGGTGGTTGGTAGGAACTTGGGGTGAGACGACATACCAGCACGTCTTTGACGAAGGATATGGGACAAACGGTTCCTTCTGCATATTTGGAAAGTCTCGAATCAGCATACGCAATGTTATCAAGACTTGAATCCGCCAATGCAACAAAATCATCCTGGATACGGTGAGTTCGGCATCTGGTAAGAAAGGTGCTCACCGATATCGAGCAATACGACACTAATAGCGCCGAGGCTGTGGGCCATTGTGTGAGCTGTCTATAGAGAGAAACTTGGTATTGTGCGTTGTCGTGACAAGGTGAGGCAGCAGGAAGAGAAAAAATTTTAATTCCCGAAGTGACACGTCAAGACAGTGAGACTCTGGGGCGCGACGCGCGAGAAGACTTTTTTCCCCTTCCCTCTTTGCGATTGTTTCTTCTCGCTTCCAGATTGAAATCCTTCAGCGGCGTTTCAAAGAACTGTTTACTTCCCAATTCAAGCTTTCCGCAATTCAACGGAGGCAGGTTGATAGGCGCTAGCTAGTTCATGCATGAAGGAGGTGACGGCGGGAGATTAGAAGAAGGCGGTCAAGCCAGCGCCCGGAAGTCAAGTAGGGCCGGAACGGGAAACGCGGTTGCAGACCTGCAGATTTGCCGTATGGCTGCCCAGTGCAGGTGGGAGTTGGTGCGAGATGTGCCTTGTAAGTTGTGTGTGTGTGTTTGTGTATGTGTGCCCGTGTAAGAGAGAAAAGTTGGATTGCGCAACGCCGCAAAGGTGTGTGTGAGTGGAGATGGCGAATAAGGTCGCAGAGGGCTACACCAACCCAGGCCTGCCATGGTAGCAGCCGGTGACATGGCCCAATAGCAGCAGACTGTTAAGACATCGATTGCATGACCAAGGCCTCACACTGAAGCAGCGGTGAAGACTGAAGAGGGAGCACTCAATTGTGGGCGATATCAAGCGGCAGCGGCTGGAATGAGTCCGTCGTCCGCGGACCAGCCGACGCCAGCGGCAGAGTGGCTCTCTCTCTCAAGGCTCATGTAGCGAGTAGGTGGATGAACATTTTGCGGCCGGACGGTGAACTCGGGGGCCGGAAAGGGGGGGCCGGCGGGAAGCTGGTCGCGAGTCCGTCGCGCATTGTCAGGCGGTCTGGTTCCCCACCATCGTGAGAATTTGACAGGTCACCGATGAACTCGAGAGAAACGTAGAGAAGGTCGTCGTCCGGTCCTCGTACGGGCGTCGACGGACCCAAGGACGATGCGCTCGGGTACCTTGCGTGGAGCACGCCGGCCTTGTCCCCAAATCCTTTCAACGGAACGCCTGGTTCAGGTCACCGGCCGAGAAGCCTAGGATTTGACATCTTGGGTAGGCCGCTTATGGGTATCGAGAACCCCGTATCTGCCCGAGATCTATTAAGCGGGATTCTAGAACCAAAACGAGCACGCCAGAAGAGACTGGAGCTATCTCTTAGCTTTGGTTGGAAGTTGGAGTTCCTGACAAGTTGACAGGTTGTAACTCTGGAAGTTGAGAGGGCAGATACAAGCGCTGCGGTTAACAAGGCTATTGGGCTGAAGTTCGAAGTGGCTAATGGTTTCCTCACTTTTTTCCTGGTCCGTTCGGGCCCGCTGATTGAACCTCTGACACACATGCCGTGCCCTTTTCGTGCAGTCTCATCGTTGCTGTCCTTCCATCCAATCGTGTTTCTCTGGGATATCAATCCCTGTCACATCTGTGTTCTCGTGGTACGACTATCTCCCTACTTTACGAATACCAACGCCAGAATCCCGCAAGGGGCATGGGGAATCGGGATGCCACCGCAATGCAAACAAACATTGCCGAAACGAACTTGGAATGGAAACGGCGACAGCAGCGTAGTCATCGCAACAGCAAGGGTCCAATGGATTGGTGCCTTGAATTGACAAGCCACACGACTTTTGGACCCCTTTGTTTCTCGGATGCTACTCTGCACGAGTAGATTGGCCTAGAGATGCTTCTGTCCGCATTCGAGCGTGTGGCAGTTGAGCCAGACTACCGCCAACTGCGCCATGCCGTTCTGAAATTCTGATGCTTGTCTTCTTCGGTCGATAAAGCTCGAGCTTCGGAGGCGTCCCGCTCTCACGAGCAACATGTTTCGCTGGCATTTGATGGTGATGAGCAGGCCACTAATATTGGTATGTGCCAATGGGCAAGCAGCGGATTGAGGCCGAGCAAGCGGGTGCGGACGGCGTGAATCTTGCCCAATGCCGAACGGACGCAAGATGTACCCAATAATCACGATACGTCACGCCTTCTTCCATCTCCTTGCCATCGTGGATTCATCTGCCTTGACTGGCCTAATAGTCTGAGGGTCGAGATGCGTTTGTTGTCGTGCGCTAGCACGTCCTCGTGCTAGAGTCCCAACGGTGTGAATCAACGGGAAAACCTAGAAGCATGATGGAAGAAAAAGCGCAGCGCACGGCCTGCTTCGTGGGATCTAGTTGCACCCGCGAGAACGAAGAAAGTCACGAATGAGCGAGGACGGAGACATACGGTGAGGAATTTGGACCGTGTGGCCAAGGAAAGAACATCTCGCCGGCCTCGATAAACACGCGTGGCGGCATCACGGACCTCGGCTCTGGTCCGATTCTCGCCTCCGTAACACGCAAGTGACGGCGAGGTGGATAAGCTTTGTTTTTCTGTTGGCCACACGTGCTTTCGCCGCCGCGGTAGCTTGACACATATTCTCACGAGCCTAGACAGATATTTGGGGCCAGAGATGTTGATAGAGCGGTATGAGTGACGGGGCGAAACATTATCTCATTACGGAGTTGATACGGTGGTCGAAACTAAAGTACTCCAGGACTCAATACTACTACATAGACAACTCAATCTACCTGAAGAGTGACTTTGTGACACGCCTGACGGACTTAACGAGAGTCATCTCATTACGAGCATCGTTGACATAAGTAACCACATGCTTCTATCACATCCTGAGTACGTGGTCAGACGTACGGATGCCCGGCGTTCATTCCCGTGAAGCTCGCCGCTCGCGGCGGCGGGGTTATCTCGAACGCCGGCGACGATCCGTCGTACTCGCCCGCCAGTTCCGTGGTCCTACGCATCCATCACCCCATTCGTATTGCGGCCGACCAGTCACATTGGCCGGTTTACTCGCCAGCAACGAAGTTACTGTTTTCCTGCCAGCCAGCCGCAAAAAGCAAAACACTTGCAAAACGCTCTAATTCATTGGGAAGGGGTTTGTATGGTTGGCTGGTGATGGTGGTGGTGGGGTGGTATCGTGGCATCTCTCATGTCCTTGGCAAGACATTCTGTCGCCTAAGCGAGGTCAGTTTCCTGTAGCCATTTTGGCCCATGTATCGCCAGATAGGACGGCAAGACGAGACAAGCCATGGAGGTCCATCAAACATTGAAGCGAGACATTGTAATCAGCTGTTATTCAGAGTTCTAGTCTGTTCCTCTCAGTCGATGGCTGCACCGCCTCTTAAGGCACTTGGAGCTGAGCCCTGGCTGGCACTTTACAAGCCCCCCCAATTGCCTGCAGTAATGAGCGTACTACGGCTTTGAGGCTTTCGTATGTTCCTACGTCTCTCTCGTGGATAGTGGGGATCGATTTCTGGTGGCGGGGGATATTTCTTCAGTGTCATTCATCCAGCAATGAGACCATATTGCCCGGTCACACGACCGAGTCGTTGGGGAACAGAGTGGCACCGGGGACGTGGAAATGCGTGGTGACTCGTGAGAAGCACACGAACGCCGACTGCGGCCCCCCATTTCCCGTTTGATGAGAAAGGAGGCCACGGTTACCCTCACTTTATGACTGATACCTTTACATGATTATCCGCGCCTTCATCACCGTCAGCCCGGTCTGCCGAACCATTGAGCTATGCCAGGGATGCATTTCCACACCGTAGAAGTCAAGTTGGCAAACTCCGCGATTATTACGTCGTCTGGACGGCACATACATACCGGCTGGGACTGTACACTTGTTCGCTTCCCGAGGTGCCCATACTTCCTACGAACCTTTTCATAAGAACCAATTTGGGTTAATGAGGGGATGACGAAGAGCGTCAACCTCTGAAACACTCTCGAGGAGCGGCCGTGATCGGCATCAGCCAAGGCTCAGCGTCACGGACGCTAAGTACACATAGCAAAAGCATCAGCCCTGAGCCTGTGAACTGTGTACTTTGTAGGGCCTCTTTGGGGTCCAGCCTTCGAGGTGAGGTGGCCTTGTGGGAGCACTGGGGGGTCACATCAGCGTTCAATGATCGGACGAAAGTTGGACGTTTAGGCCCCTCCCCAGACCTCGGACTGGGCCAAATTATCGATACGAAGCAAGGGGTGGGCGGGTTCAAGGTTTCAATGTCGCCATGTTGCGAAGCTGTAATTTCAAGGACAGTCTGAATGGACAACTGTACATAGAATGCAGATCGGTTCGTTTGCTTACGGCCAAGATTAAGAGTGAACCGAAAAGAGGAACCGCGAAAGATAGCTGCCTCATCTACGATAATGCAAGATAAAGCTCTCCGCAGAAGCAATGTCCCACCCGTATCAAAGGCCCACGGGTCATCTGAGATAAATCACTCTGGGGTAAGCTGCAACTTGTGTGAGAGGGAGAGCAAGGAGATTGGGACCCCTTCGAATGGAGGAGGGAGGTTAGACACCAATTAGGAAAGGACCCATGAAAGCCCGTTTTCTAGTTCTGGAAAGTCGATGGAGAAGGATTTGTGGCACAGGGCCGGCGGCGCTTGGGGACCTCCCAAGTTCGTGGGAAACTCTGGGGAACTCCTGGCCGTCCGTGAGCACTTCTCTTTCCCTTACTTGCAAAGCATGGATAAGAGGGTTCAGAGGAGCGCCAGTGAACAGATAACACTGGTTGTGCGAACAAGATACGGGACGGGATTGACAGTAAGGATGCTTTGAACAGGTCTGCGACGCGATAACCAATGTCGAGCGGGCGCGATTATACTTCTGTCCCATCTGCAGGTCGAAAGGAGTGCAGTGTCATACGACCAATGAGACCAAGGCAAGTGAGCAAGTGAAACAGAAGCCCAAGGAATCCAGTCGTGAGATTGTACGAGGTAAACAGCTGGCGTTGTCGGCTGGCGTGCTGACTGTTTGAGAGGCACAGAGGCTGGCAGGAGCTTACCTTAGGAAGGAACTAGGTTCCGTGCACCGTCTCTGGACAGTCGTGAGTGCCTAGGTATGTACTGTAACGGAGGGGTTGAGAGCACCGTTGGGTAACGGTCGGCCAGTAATGTTCTCAATCGGGTACAAAGTAATACCTCTAGGTAGACTCCGTATGAGTGTTCGGTTCTTGACTCTACCTCTCGAACTCTCAGTACCATACCCAAAGTCACCAAACTCTCCACAGTCGCCTTTAGTTAGAAGGAGGCAAGAGCAGGCAATGGCAATGGGCAATCTGGCAATGAGAGTTGAACAACTGTCCTGACTCCTGACTACGTGACTACTCTGACATATCCACCGAGACTTTTTGTTGGGACGGGAGTCATAGGACTGGGCAACTGACGTGACGAGTTGCAAATCTGCTACTATTCTTGTTCAGGGGACCTGGGGACCTGGGGATCGTGGACGTGGCCTGTAGGCTGTATCCGTACCGCGGCAATGCACTCCAATTTCGGTCCACGGCCAAATGACCAAATGGCCAAATAACGATATTCTTCAGCCATGATCCAGGTCCACGTTTTCCGAGAAGACTGGATCCCTCATGATTTCCGAGTACATACGCGGTAAAGAGAGAGGAAAATCGGGGGACCCGTTGCGTTGCCACTCTATCTTTGGAAGCTAAGCCATAACAGGCACGTCCATTCAGTCGAGATATCCAGATCTGCGAATCAGCATGGATAGCTTATGTAAAACGATACCCAATAGGAATAGCCGTGGTCGTGGCGTGGATGCTAAGCAGTCACGGGGTCTTCCGAATTCCAGGGACGGATAAGGCGACCTTACCTAACCAGAATGATGAAAGTTCACGATCAATGGAAGTCCACTGAGAGCGTAACATAACATGTAGAGAAAGGACCTCTTTCCCCCCCCCTGACAATATCCACACGGTGGCTCATTCCGGCACCGCGTACACTGTCCAAGGGAACACTCTCGGCAGTTTGCCATGTTGTATTCGTTCAAAGTACTCGGACTGGATAACCGATAATGCAAATGCAGGCCCAACTCAGTGAGGCCAGAGTCTCTGGCGGCTGGCCGGCGCTGCTGGTACCGTACCTGGCAGGCGAGACTTTGTGTTGGCGCCAGGAGCGAATGAGAGTCTGGCGATGGTCTTCTGGCACTATGAATTGTTAGTTTTGGATCTAAGGCCGTCTGGACCCCGTCGATCGCCTTCCCTCATTGTGTAAGAAGGGCAAAAGGGTTGCGCGCTTCCCGCTGCGACCGCCCTACTCTCTATCTCTGTTCGTCGATGCTGCAGGCGGTAGACGATTTGGAGCGCCGTCGCAACGGGAAGGGAGGCCTGGCTTGTCTGGCACCCCGGATTGTCGACGGGCCTTGACTGGCTGGCGACGGCTGCCGTGGCAGAAAGAAACATACAATGACCTGGAGCATGGCTTGGCTTTTCCTGGCGCTGGCAGCCTGCATGCATTCCGCTGGTTTCGCAGTACGCGGCAGTCATGTCGAGGTTGGAGCTGTCCTCGCCCAGCCGCTGCGCGAGCTGTACTTGCCGACCACGTACCCCCAGGGCGGTGTGGCGACTAACGACGCATCCAAGTGGATCAAACTTTCCAAGGACGGTTGGTACTGACTGGCTGTGCCTATGGTGGCTGTCAGGTACGTAGCCGGCAGTGCATAATGCAATAGGTACGTTGGTTTTTGGTACGGGTGCTCTGAACGGAGTGGCAGTACGGAAAATTGCTTGGGCTACCTCCATACTGGCGTCGCGTCCATGGGACAGTAGGCCCTCCGTCAAAACATGATCACCGTTCATCTTCGTCTACCGTCCAGCGATGATCTACCGTGTAGGAATAAACGTTTGAGCACGTTCCTTCCTGGGCATTCGCAATACCTTGGCTTTTCGGTGCCATCCATTGACTTCGATTGTACTGTACTTCTCTCCTTTACAAGCCAATTGTCTTCCTCATTCGCACGCCTACTTCCATAATAAATCACAAGAGAGTACTGCCCTGCAACAACATGTCATCACTTGCACGCAATACGGTCGTTCAGGTCTCGCCGTTCCAGTAATCAATGTTGCACGAAGCCGCACAGCGATAGAGCTAACGAGAAGTGAGAACACCCAGAGAGGGGAAAAAGTTCGAGACCTCGAGTGTTCAACCCCAGACGGTCCCTTGCAGCCACTTCGCACATCACACCTTGGACCTTCATTGCCAGCGAGTTTGCGAACGTGCGAACGTCCCTCCCCCCCCCCTCCCCCCGGTCGAGCAGCCTGCCAGCCATTCGCGGATTCATGCACTTCGCAGGGGTTCGCCCGCTGTCTCAAGGAAACTTCCCACATCTCGAACCAAGTTTCCGAGAGGCCCTTGTCAGTCGCACTGTCCCGCCGGTCAATCTCCCTTTTCCCCCTGAGCTTGGGTTTGCGAGATACATCTGATGCTACTGAGATTACCTGCCATCTCCCGCACCGCTGGTCCCCTCTATGGCGTACCTTGCTACCGGACTTCGTCATAGTTACGCTGCTGCACGAGTTTAATTGCCTTGCGGGCACCCCTCGCGCCAGCGTTCTTCGCCGGTTGTTATTGTTGCGGCATCCGTATTGTTGATGTTTATGTTGATTAACAAAGTTATTCGGCTCCGACCCCGTGTATACTTGGTTGCGTCGGTCAATCTACACAACAACTACATAGGGCGCGGCAACGCATTCTCGTCTTACGTATCAACACAGTGGTATCGCCGGCTACCCAGAGATTGCGTATTTTGGACACTGCTTTCGTCTTGAATTCGCCATCCATCGAAGCCAATGGAAGTCACTGCGGAAGGTTTTCGTGCCGTGTACTCCGTTATGAGCAATCAAGTTTATCAATCAAGGCGGTCCCGTTGAATCGTCCGCTTCGACGATGAGTAACAACACAAAGCCCCGTCTACCATTCGCCGGAACGGGCACCGAGTTCCCTCTTTGCACTCTCCTTTTTCTCAGTGGATTCTGGAGAGGATCCCGACAAGTACGACTCTTGCTTCCTCGCTGGCAGCTCCCAGTTCCAGCAGGCTACGGGGCCGGAGAGATGATGAAATGGGCTCTCAAGACGGGGCGGACGGGTACAAGTTGGGCGAGAATCGCCGTGCCGGGACCCGTTGACTATCCACTGTGGGTTATGTCAATAGTCAGCTGGTCTGGTACACCTGGGCCTGGACGCTGAGTGATGCAGTCGTGCTCCTATGTGTTCCTCTGCTCTTGGCTAAGCTGATGAGGTACCTCACTCGGTAGACGGCTGCCAGCCCATTCGGTACTTAGCTCACACCAACTATTTGCACTAGGTTTACCAAGGCACATGGTTGACTTTCCAAGTTGACCTCGAGGCTCGTCAGTGCGTCAGACTCAGCCAACACTGGGCACCGTGAACCCGTTATGACACCGCTGATGGCACAGTGTCACAGTCTTCACACCCTCAGCGCTCACCGTCCGAGGTCTGGACCTCCAAGCGTGGAGCTGGCTAACGGAGTGGTAAACGGAAGCCAAAGTCGTCTATGTACAATGTCTACAGGCGCCTTGAGAGAAGACACAAACATCAGAACAGGCCATTCAGAGACAGCAAGTGGGGCTTCTGGGCTGACCCGGCCTTTCACTCACTGGCTGTCTCTTTCGTCTGTTCTCTGCATAGGTACCTACTGCGTAGGCATGGAGAGAAAGCTGCCTCCCCCCTCCACAGTTCAGACACCTGACTGCTGTCTATGTCTGAGGTTGGTTGTCGTGTGTCTGGGGAAAGCAACAGAGCCAAAAGGGGGGCTGAGGTCTGAACAGACGGGAGCGAGCAATCGAAGTGTCGGTCTGTCGGTCTGGCTGACTGGAGTCTTTTCAGGCATGGCTGGGTTGCGTTGCATCGTTGCCAGCCCAGCGAGAAAGAAAGCCCAGTCGTGTCCTGCAGGATGATCAGGATAGCATAGGGTAGTGCATGCTATTACTGGGTAGCTACTAAGGTATACATACGGATAATATGCAGGAGACAGTTGTCTGGTGCTGGGGATTGGAGAGCGATGTGAGAGACAAGCAATCCTGCTTTGAATGCTGTCTGCAAGTTGGTCAAGCGTGCGTTCCGGTCGTCCCAGTCGTCCCACTCCCCTCCCCCCATCATTCCACGTAGCGCGCCATGCTTCCTGGCGACTTGTCCCAGACTGTCCAGTACCTGTGCCAGGTGCCAGCCCCGTGTGTGCACATGATACGTACTCTTCCCCCACCGCTTTCTCGACCGTCCGTCACCCTTTCCCAAGGATGCTACCTCAGCATCCTCAGCATGGCTCAGGTAAGGAACCTATCCAGGTACCTAGGTAGCTCCCTCCCCACGCAGTATGGCCAGGTACCTTACTGTGTGCCGATACTGACTGCGTAAGGTAAGGTAGACTTTCATTCCGTCCCAGTTCTCTCAGTTCCATCCAATACCCTCGTCTTGTCGGTACGTATCGCCGTAAGTGTACTTGCACCTCACCGTCCCGGAGCTGTCGCAATACGCAGTTCCCGGTACGTACTCCCGCGCTCGCCTTTCCACCCCCGGTCTGCCTATCTCGCTCCTGGGGTTCCTCGCTCTCTTGTCGCTCTGTCGCTCTGTCTCTCTCTCTCATCCCGTCTTATCCAAGCCAATCCATCCTCGTCCATTCACCTCCATCTTCTTCTTTGGCCGTCTTTTGCTCACACACTCTCTTCGCTCACTTCCACACCTCTCTTCCTCTCGCCTTGTATTCCCTGTCCTGCACCAGCCTACCCACCACCACCCATTTGCTTCATCCAACCTACCTTACCGTACGGTCCTCTCTGCCTCTGCCTGCACTTACCTACTTTACTCTAATACTCCCCCTTCATCATCCTCGCCCCTTCTCTTGCTTGTTTCCTCTACTCTACCATCCTTCAATCATCGTCGTCAACGGCCTCTCTTCCTCTCCTTGCTTGTTAGCCTCCTCTCCCCCGCCTCAACCTCCTCCCTTTACCACCCTTTCGCTCCGATCTCCTTATCAACTACTCGTCCATCAACAAATCCACCGATACTCGCAACGCCAGCTCCCGCGTGCCCACCCGCGAGTCATACTTGCAAGCAATCACGCAATCTCCTATCACGCTCTGCCATCGAGTTGAAGAGTATATCAATCAGTCAACCCATCGACAGAGATAGGATAAGAGAGGCCTCAGGAACCACGATTTCCTTACAATCTCCACCAGCCTCGGCAATTTGCTGTCATTGAACATTGACTCACACCTCGTGTCCTTTGACTCACTTTGGCCCTCGCCTTTGTCACTCAACATCCGTCCACGCTTTAAGCAACGACACCTCCCTCACCCATCCATCGAGATAAGAGCTACCCACCTCCCATCGACCGACACTCACCAACGACTCTCGTCTGTCGATTCGTTGTCACACACTGCTCAACGCTCGAATGCTTCCGTAGCCACTACTCTTCGCCGATCCCGGTAGTCAGCTTGCTTGCAAGCCGTTGCTATTCACACTTTCAACGACATCTACCCACGGCCATCGACTATCACGTCAACTGGCCTTTGTGCCTAATAGAGCCAGCAAACCAACGATCAACCGCATTAGCAGTTGGGTGCCATCTCGAAACAGTCTGAATCCTCTAGCTAGGAATCGACGCCTTCATTTCTCCTGCGAATCAACTATCCAAAGTTGACCTCGCGAACCCCTTGTTCGACCTTCGGGCGCCACTCTCTACACTTTTTCCAGCAAGCTTGCTCTATTTCAATGTCCTCATAACGATACTTCTTTGTCTTTTCCGGACCACATCGTCCAACCCCATAACGACCAATCAACCAACAACAACAGACTCTCGCTTTCATATGTCCGTCTCCAGCAAAAAAATACCCTCAATGAGCCTCTGATAAGTCAACGAAAAGGAGTTAGAAATTCGTCTTGTTTCCTGTTAGATTTGTTCTTTCAACCCTGTATATTCTTGGTAACAACCAAACCCGCCTCCTTCTCGATCTACAACAACAACAACCACAACCGACACGAATCCTACGCTGTTCACACCCATCCTTCTCGATCCAGCAACCACTCGAATCCTCCTTCCTCTGCAACGACGAAACCTCGAAAAGCTTGCTTTAAGGCTGTAACATCACCCTCGCCGCTACATCGTTGTTTCTCAATTCGATACCCCCGTGCTCCAAAGCTTTTTTTTCCAGTTTCGATATGGCATGCTTGAGAGACAACTTTCAGAATGGCGTGCTCCTCGGTGGTCGATATGAGACCATCTCTCCCCTCAACCATGGTTCCTTTGGCATGGTCTTCATGGCCAAGGACACCAAGACCAGCGAGACCGTTGCCATCAAATGCTTGACTAAGAAGGAAGCTGCTGATGAGTACGGTTTCGACTTCGCCATTGACGAGAAATCCGAGGAGCTTGTTCTCCACAGCCGTCTTGGATCCCACCCCAACATCGTCAACCTTCTCGACACCTTCGAAACCGATGCTCACCTCTACTTGGTTCTGGAGTTCTGCCCTCAGGGTGACTTGTACGAAGCCATCCGCAAGGGCCACGGCCCTCTCGAGACGGAGCATGTCCGACAGTTCATGCTGCAGCTCGTAGATGCCGTCGACTACATCCACTCCAAGGGCATCTTCCACCGAG